GATGGCCATTTTGATGATGTTAATTCTCCCGATCCATGAGCAGGGGATGTCTTTCCATTTCATGGTGTCTTCTTGTATTTCTTTTACCAGTGTTTTGTAATTTTCTTTGTAAAGCTCTTTTACCTCCTTTGTTAGGCTGACTCCCAGGTATTTGATTCTTTTTGTTTTAATTGAAAAGGGGATGGTTGTGTTTTTTTTTTTTATCTCTGCTTCTTCTGATTGGTTGTTTGTGTATAGGAAAGCCTCTGAGTTTTGTGTGTTGATTTTATGTCCTGCCACCTTGCTAAACTGGTGGATGGTTTTGATTACTTCCTCTGTGGAGCTTTTAGGGTTTTCCATATAAATTAACATATCATCTGCAAATAAGGATAGTTTTACTTCTTTTTTCCTTATTTGGATTCCTTGTATGCCTTTTTCCTGTCTTATTGCTATGGCTAGAACTTCCAGTGTTATGTTGAAGAGCAATGGTGATAGTGGACACCCTTTTCTTGTTCCTGATCTCAAAGGAAAGGCTTTCAGCTTTTCTCCATTGAGGATAATATTGGCTGTGGGTTTATCATAGATAGGTTTTATCATGTTGAAGATCCTTTAAAATTTTAAGGTTAAAAATAATGTAGAGCAATTCCTCTTGAGGGAACGTACTCAAGAGAATTCAAAGCAATGACTAAAACAGACATCTCTACAGCCATAGCCACATCAGCATTGCTTATCACCTGCCAAAATCCAAATGGAACTCAAGTGTCTGTGAGGGAAATAAATATGACATATATGTGATGGAATATGACTTAGCCTTAAAAAGAAGGGAAATTCCGATACCTACTGACTGTAGGAACTTTAGAGTCTTCATGTTACAAAAGTCAGACACAAATAGACACATAGGGTGTGGTTCAAAACTCCAGTGGCATTTTTTATAGACACAGACTAGCAATCCTAAAATGTGTGTGGGACACCAAAGGACCTGGGGTAAACAAAGCAACCCTAAGAGGAGAAAATAGGGCAGCAGAAGGCAGGCTTTCTGGCTTCAAACTATATTACCAAGTTACAGTTACTGAAACAGTGTGGTATTGGCTTAAAGACAAACACACTGACCAACAGGACAGTCACTGAAGCGGGGACAAGGACAGGAATGAAATGAGACTCCTATTGTTTGTGCACAGCCAAGAGGTACCCTGGAATCCCCCACCCTTGCATGCTCTCCATCATCAATACACAAAAACACAAAGGCGACTCTTAGTGTAAGAGAACCTTACCTTCCCAATAAAACACCCCAAACTACCCATCCTTTTCTGGATAAATACCCAGCCAAACAGAGCTGGTCCAAACAGGACTACAGAGGCCTGAAAGCCCGCCTCAGGTCTCTCCTGGCAGGAAACCACAGGAAAGGGTTCTGTAGCAGTTCCCAGAAAGGAACGAAATCAAAGTACGAAGCAAGACAACAGCCACCACTTCTGGCCTTCCCATGTGTCTCTCCTCCATGTGTCTCGTCCAGGTTTGCCCAGTACCAGGTGCAAGTTCAAAGCCAAGCAGCAAGCAGACTCCTCTCCCTGAGCCCCGCCCATCTGCCCTGAGTCACATGGCTGCTGGCCACACCCGAAGACAGCCACATGTGGGGGCGGGGGGCGCATGGCCCTTCCCGTTCGTGGACCTGCCTCTGCTCCACCATCTCATCACACCAAAAATCATCCCCAAGCCCAGCAACTTCCCACAGCCAGGCCTTCCTCCGTGGGCCCTCTGCCTGGAGCCCCCCTGGTCCTCACATGGCTCCACATGGTCCCCAGGCTGACCACTATGCACTGGGTCCTGCAGAGAGGTGTGCCTGCCAGCAGGAGTGTTCTTGAGTTGGGGGAAGCCTGCACACAGACAGGCCAGCAGGCATGGCTGGCAGGTGGGCTGCAGGATGCCCAGGGCACAGCTCTCCCGTGAATCCCCACCTGGCAGCCCTGCTAAATCACTGCATTTTGAAAATTAAAAATGAGGTGGAGGCAGACATCCTGCATCTTCTCTAAAAATGGTGTTAAGCAAACAAATTAGAAGCCATTAAGAAGCAAAGCATAATCTATTTGAGAGGAAAACCTTGCAATTCAGAAGTACGAATCAGGTGGAACCCAAAACGTGTCCTGAGAAGAGAAATCGGAGGGCGAGGCCATGGGGGTGAGGCCATGGCCAAGTGGAGGAGTCACGGGTCGAAACGGTCAGGTGGGAGTGTGCAGGGCAATTCCGTCCGTCCTTTCTAACGGGGTCTCGCCCCTCGTGGGTCCCGGGAAGCTGGCAGTTGCGCGGCCCAAGGATCCGGCCCAGCTGTGTCCTTTTCCACAGTAGCTCTGACACTTTAAAAAAAAGCCCCAGGGGCCCTCCCTGGGGTGCAGGGGTCGTCTCAGCAGTCTGGGCCCCCATGCTGAGTGCAACCCCCAGGGCACAGCACACCCCCATCTGCCGCTGCCACCACAGCAGTGGGTTTCAGTGGAGCCACCTGTTCTGCTCCCCACCCTATCTCTGGCGAACCTCACCCCTACAGCTCAGGCCTGCGCCCCAGCCCTTCCATGCAAAATAAACAAACAAAAAGGGCCTAGGGATGTCAGCTCTGGGCAGCGGCTACGGAACAACTGGAAAACAGCTGGGTGGGAGCGAACCTAAGCGCAGATTTTGCGGCTCACACAGTAATCGCACACAGCTCCTGCACTTCAATAGAAACAAGGTCAAACAGGTCAAAGTAAGATGCCACACTGTGACGTGATAGGACACACAACCTGCATTTTGTGATGTGTGCACTTCATAAAATTAAAAACCCGCTGGCTGGTCCGGATGCAGCACTTCAGAGCGTGTCCACCGACACCGTTGTTTCAGCTGCAGGTGCCTCCAGGGTGACACCCTGGGCCACCTCACAGCCTCTCTCTCGGCAGACGGCCCTGCCGGGGCAGGAAGCCCGGGCAACGTAGACCTGCCCCTCCTTGGGTCTTTTGTGCAGGAGGGTCTCAGCCAGGACCGAGAACAGCAGAGGGGGATTGTTTTGCCTCCCGACCAGTGCAAGGGACACCGCTGGCCAAGAGAATGGGCACTGCCTGGCTGGGGTCACAAAGCTCGAGGCACGCTGACGGCGGAGGGTTTCAGGGTTTATGTGCCACGAGGCCCGCGCCCTGCACACAGCTCACCGACCCGAGCATCAGGCTCACATGCACGAGCGACTGTCTGGCCAGGCTCTTACGCAGTGTGGGGTGAAATGCAGAGCCCGCCGGTGCCGGCGGGCGGGTGGTGGGGGAGGCCTCAGAGAGCAGGGCGTGTGCCTCACGGGGCGGAAGACTCTCCCCTAAAGCTCCTTCGCTGGGGCCCAGCCATGGCTCCGAAATCGCACCTGAGACAGAGGCGACGCTGCGGGAGCTGGCAGACGCTAGGGTAGGGCCACGGGCCCGGGGCCCCGGGGTCATGCTGGGGCGACGTCTGTGTCGCTGCGGACGCGGCTGCACGAGGCTCCACCCTGCGCAGGAGCCGGTGCGGTGGGACACACGCGCGCCCCGCACCGCCACCCACGCAGCGCTGGCTCCGGCTCTCGACCCCTGTGCGGGCGGGGGTGGCGCGAGAGCTGCCTGCGGCCAGCCACGCCGGGATCGCGCTCAGGTGGCCAAGGCGGCAGAGAGCCGTGGCGAACACGGTCCCAACCAGGGGCTCGAGGTCGCCGTCCAGGGGCCCACACCAGAGAGACAAGCGAGAGCAGGTCTGGAAGGACTCCAAGGGCGATGCAGACGCTCAGCCTCGCTCAGGGCCGCGCGCTGAGCCCCTCCAAAGGGCGGGCGGCTCACGGTGACCCGCGCGCCCGCCCCGCGGGAGCCCGGCCCAGGCCTGTCGCAGAGGTGCAGCGGCTGGACGGGCGGTCACCGCGGGCCTGCGGCGAGCACGTGATAACCCGCACTGAGCGGCTGTTCCTCGACGTGCAGGGACCACGAGGCGCTTTACCCAGGGGCCTGCTGCAACCCAGGGGTAACCCTCTGATCGCCCCCCACACCGGCACCAGCCAGGCCAGTCCCGCCCAGGACCCGCCCACACACG